CCATCAGTCAGGAGGGATTAGATTGTCCCTTCCTGCCTGGCAGAAGGGGGTGGACTTGATGGCCCCTGGGGACCCCTTCCAAACTTAACAGAATTTAGGCTTCCCTTGGAGTCTCTCTCCTTTTCTGGGGGTCTTTAAACAGAGGTGGGATGGCCCTCTCTCAGGAAGAATTAGATTGTGCCTCCCTGTCTTGGCAGAAGAGGGTAGACTAGATGGCCTCTGGGGGTCCCTTCCAAACTTAACAGAATATTAGTGTCTGGAAATCCATTGGAGTTTCTCTCCTTTTCTGGGGGTCTTTATACAGAGGCTGGATGGTCATCACTCAGGAGGGATTAGATTGTGTTTTCCCGCCTGGTGCATGGGGTGGACTAGATGGCCTCTGGGGATCCCTTCCAAACTTAACAGAATATAGGCTACCTGGGAATCCTTTGGAGTTTCCTTCTCTGGAGGTCTTCAAGCAGAGGCTGGATGGCCATCACTCAGGAGGGATTAGATTGTGTCTTCCCACCTGGTGGAAGGGGTGGACTAGATGGCCTCTGGGGGTCCCTTCCAAACTTGAAAGAATATAGGCTGCCTGGGAGTCCCTTGGAGTCTCCCTCCTTCTCTGGAGGTCTTTAGGCTGGATGGCCATCTTTCAGGAGGGATTAGATTGTGTCTTCCTGCCTGGCATAAAGAGGTGGACTAGATGGTCTCTAGGAGTCCCGTCCAAACTTAACAGAATATAGGCTACCTGGGAATCCTTCGGAGTTTCCTTCTCTGGAGGTCTTCAAGCAGAGGCTGGATGGCCATCACTCAGGAGGGATTAGATTGTGTCTTCCCACCTGGTGGAAGGGGTGGACTAGATGGCCTCTGGGGGTCCCTTCCAAACTTGAAAGAATATAGGCTGCCTGGGAGTCCATTGGAGTCTCCCTCCTTCTTTGGAGGTCTGTAGGCTGGATGGCCATCTTTCAGGAGGGTTAGACTGGATGGCCCCTGGGGGTCCCCTCCAGACTTAAGAGACTATAGGCTGCCTGGGACTCCATTGGAGTCTCCTTCTCTGGAGATCTTTAGGCTGGATGGCCATCTTTCAGGAGGGATTCAATTTGTGTCTTCCTGCCTGGCATAAAGGGGTGGACTAGATGGTCTCTAGGAGTCCCTTCCAAACTTAACAGAATTTAGGATACCTGGGAATCCAATAGAATTTCCTTCTCTGGAGGTCTTTAAGCAGAAACTGGATGGCCATCTCTTAGGAGGGATTAGATTATCCCTTCCTGCCTTGTGGATGGGATGGACTAGATGCCTTCTGGGGGTCCCTTCCAGACAAGAGAATATAGGCTGAATGGGAATCCATTGAAGTCTCTTTCTCCAGAGGTCTTTAAACACAGGTTGGATGGCCCTCTCTCAGGAAGGATTAAATTGTGTCTTCCTGCCTGGCGAAAGGGGGGGGGCGGGGTTGGACTAGATGCCTTCCAGTGGTCCCTTCTAACTCTAGGATCCTAAGAATGAGGTTTGTCGCCTAGCTTGAGCAGTTGCGCACCTGGTATGTTTTTACCTGCGCAGGTAGGCCTTAGGGGAGTGTCTTTGCTTGAGATTCAGTGTTGTCGTCGGGATAATGAAAATGACTTAAGAGAATATAGACTTAAGAGAATATAGGATGCCTGGGAGTCCATTGGAATCTCTTTCTCCAGAGGTCTTTAAACAGAGGTTGGATGGCCCTCTCTCAGGAGGGATTCAGTGCTGTACGAGTAGTCGCTCAAATGAAAATCTCGTGATTCGGTCTTATCTTTGTTTTTACTATTTTTTCTCCTTTTTTCAAAAAAGAGAGAAGAGCAGAGAAGCGGCAGAGGCAGGAAGAGAGCCGTAGCAGCGCTAGACAGGATCGTGTCCCATGAATGTGAAACGGGGCCACCATGCAAAGGCCCTGCAAGGGTCAGCTCGCGTGGGAAGCGGAGGCATCGCATGGTCCCAAAAGCTTCATTCCTCGCATTGGTCCAAATGGGGAGTGCAAAAGAAGACCCCCCCCCCCCCTGGTTTTATATATAGGCAGGGGAGCCTTCGTGACATGTCGTCACAAAGGAGGGCCACTTCACCCTCCCAAAAAAGGATCCCCCCCTCCCTCCAAACTCAGTTGTGGAGGCCGTTGAGGACAAGGCGCAATTCGTTGGTGAGGAGACGGTTTTTCTCCGCCTCCTGCCTGGACCGCTCTGAAGGGACGGCGTTAGGAAAGAGAGAGAGAGAGAGAGGCATCCGGCAGCAGGAAAAGAGAGGAAGGAAGAGCCGTCAGTGGAGGAAAGTTCAACGAGACCCCAAAGGGGCAGAAAAAGAGATGCTCCCCACCGGTTGAGAGCAACAGGCAGCCCCCCAAGAGCATGGCACCCACTTAGAATTCTCCCTTTAACACCCCCAATTCAAACCCAAACGTATCGTCTGGGGCAGGGGTTCCCAAACTTTGGCCCTCCTATTGTTTTGGACTCCAAATTGCAAGGGTGGAGGGAAATATTCCACTTGAACAATAGGAAGAACTGGGTTGCTGCGAGATTTCCAGGCAGTCTGGCTGTGCTCCAGCAGCATTCTCTCCTGACATTTCACCTGCATCTGCAGCTAATGGCATTTTCAAAGGTTCTGTTAACAATGAGGCCAGTGGAGTCTATATAATATGTTGTTGCTGTTTATTCGTTCAGTCGCTTCCGACTCTTCGTGACCTCATGGACCATCCCAGGCCAGAGCTCCCTGTCGGCCGTGGCCACCCCCAGCTCCTTCAGAGTCATCTCCATTTCTGAGCCGAAGAGCCGGCATTGTCCGTAGACACCTCCAAGGTCATGTGACTGCATGGAGTGCCTTTACCTTCCTGCCGGAGTGGTACCTGACTGTGAGAGCTGTTCAGCAGTGGAACTCTCTGCCCCGGAGTGTGGTGGAGGCTCCTTCTTTGGAATCTTAAACAGAGGCTGTCTGGCCATCTGTCAGGGGTGCTTTGAATGCAATATTCCTGCGTCTTGGCAGAATGGGGTTGGACTGGATGATCCCATGAGGTCTCTTCCAACTCTAGGATTCTTTGAAGCAAGTATGCATGTTGCAATTAGCAAGCTTGAATAGCATTAGGTAACCAAGAAGTTTGCAAAGTTTGTAAAGATACCCTCACTGATTTACTTTGCAAACTTCATGGCTATTCAAATGCTAAAATGCTAATTTTATTATTATTATATATTTATTATATTACTATTACTTATTATTATTATTATTATTATTATTATTATTATTATTATTATTATTATTATTCAAGCTGGCTAATTGCAAAATTCAGGTAACCATGAAGTTTGCAAAGTTTGTAAAGATACCCTCACTGATTTACTTTGCAAACTTCATGGCTATTCAAATGCTAAAATGCTAATTTTATTATTATTATATATTTATTATATTACTATTACTTATTATTATTATTATTATTATTATTATTATTATTATTATTATTATTCAAGCTGGCTAATTGCAAAATTCAGGTAACCATGAAGTTTGCAAAGTTTGTAAAGATACCCTCACTGATTTACTTTGCAAACTTCATGGCTATTCAAATACTAAAATGCTATTATTATTATTATTATTATTATTATTATTATTATTATATTATTATTATTATTACTTATTATTATTATTCAAGCTGGCTAATTGCAAAATTCAGGTAACCATGAAGTTTGCAAAGTTTGTAAAGATACCCTCACTGATTTACTTTGCAAGCTTCATGGCTATTCAAATGCTAAAATGCTAATTTTATTATATTATTATTATTATTATTATTATTATTATTATTATTATTATTATTATTCAAGCTGGCTAATTGCAAAATCCACACTTGCTTTAAACAGGCAAGGGTCCTTTCTCTCACCCTGGATATTATTCCACAGGTATAGATAGAGACACTCCACTTGCCTCACTTCCAACAAACCTCTGAACACACCTCTGCCACAGATGCAGGGGGAAAGTCAGGAGAGAATGCTGCTGGAATATGGCCAGGCAGCCTGAAAATTCCAGAGCAACCCAGTGATTCCGGTCATGAAAGCTTTCTACAACACATGCTCTGTGTCTGTGCGTGTTCCTGTATCCCACCTTATTGTTTCCTTAATAGTACGAACAATGGCTTCAAACTGCAGGAAAGGAGATTCCACCTGAACATTAGGAAGAACTCCCTAACTGTGAGAGCTGTTCAGCAGTGGAACTCTCTGTTCCCGAGTGTGGTGGAGGCTCTTTCTTTGGAAGCTTTTAAGCAGAGGATGGATGGCCATCTGTCAGGGGTGCTTTGAATGCAATTTTCCTGCTTCTTAGCAAGGAGTTGGATTGGGTGGCCTGTGAGGTCTCTTCCAACTCAGTCTATTGATCTACTCACATTTGCATGTTTTTGAACTGCTAGGTTGGTGGAAGCTGGGGCTGACAGCGGAAGCTCATGCCACTTCCTGGATTCGAACCTGCGGACTTTCGGTCAACAAGTCCAGCAGCTCAGCAGTTTGACCCACTGCGCCACTGCTGGATGGTCTTTAATAGTCCCCTTCGAACACTAGGATGAGATGGTGATACCAACTCCTAGAAGCCCTGCACAGCTTGACCAACGGTCTGGGCTTCGAAGTCCAAAATATTTGGACGACCAAAGTTTGGGAAACACTGAATATTGGGGAAGAAATCCCACGGAAGGGTCTCCCATTGCAATCCAGGACGAAGGAGAACACGTGGGGAGTTGCAGGAGGGGCTCTCAGACCACACCCCTTGAGTCTGACCTCTGTGAATTGGGGGGGGGTCACTGCATGGCCCCCAGGACCCCACCCCATGTTGGTTTGATTGGCTAGGTAGACGAGGTCAGTGTCCAGAGATAGGAAGACCCAACCATAGGGGAAGAACCCCCCCTGAACCCCACCATTGCCCATTTTGGGGAAGGGGAGAGGGGTCAAGGGTCTCATGGAGCAGCAAAGGGTCATGAAGGAGGGAAAGAGAGAGCAATGGAGGCAAGAGAGAGAGATAGAAAGAGAGAGACGTGGTTTGCAAAGACCGTTTTATTGAACCCAAGTCTGAAGAGAGTCATGAGATGCTCCGTAGACAGACGGACAGACGGATGGATGGACAGGAGGGCAAACAGACAGAGTGGGGAGGGGGCACAGCAGGGGCGGAGTCTAAACTGGACTCCCCATTCTCCCCTCAATTGCAAGGAGCAGCCCATGTAACCCCAGAAATCCCCCCAACTCAATTTGGGGGTCTGCAAGCTGAAGATCCCCAACCCAATTTGCAAAGGCATTGAATGGGGGAGCAGAAGGGAGATACAGACCCTCCTCCCATTGAGATCCATGTCCTCCACGTAACCCCAGACCCCCACCCTGCAAGTCAATTTGGGGGTCCGCAAGCAAAAGACCCCCAACCCAATTTGCAAAGGCACTGAATGCACAGAATGGGGGAGTGGAAGGAGAGACATACCCCCCCCCATTGAGATCCATGGCCTCCACATAATCCTAGACCCCCCCCCCACTCAATTTGGGGGTCCACAAGCCAAAGACCCCTAACCCATTTGCAAAGGCACTGAAGGCACAGAATGGGGGAGCGGGAGGAGGGAGATGCAGACCCCCCCCATTAAGATCCATGTCCTCCACATAACCCCAGATGCCCCCCAACTCAATTTGGGGGTCCGCAAGCCAAAGACCCCCGACGCAATTTGTGACTAAATGCACAGAATGGGGAGGGGGAGGAGAGAGATGCAGACCGCCCCCAATTGAGATCCTTGTCCTGCACGTAACCCCAGACCCCCCCCCCAACTCAATTTGGGAGTCCGCAAGCCAAAGACCCCAACCCAATTTGTGAAGGCACAAAATGGGGGAGCAAAAGGAGAGAGATGCAGACCCCCCCCCCCCTTTAAGATCCATGCCCTCCCCAACTCAACAAACAGACAGAGTAAGGCACTTGGAGGTCTTTTGTGGCCGGAGGGGAAGAGGGAGAGTGGTCACTGCAGAAGCATCCATGGAAGAAAAGAGGGAAGGAGAGACGGACAGACAGACGGACAAAGAGGAGGAGGTGGGGGTCCGGCAGTGGTGGGGGTCCGGCAAAGTGAGGAGGGGTCTCAAAGGGAGGTGATGTCGTTCAAGGCATTGTCCAGCTCCTCGCTGATGGCTTTGTACTTCATCTTCTGGGCATAGACCTCATCTGTTGTTGTGGTGGTGGTTGTTGTTGGGGGAGGTGGGGGGAAGTGAGGAAGTCCAAGCAGAGAAGTGCCAGGGGAGGGGGTTCCGAAAAGGGGAGGGGGTGCGAAATGAGAAAAGAGGGAAAGTGAGGGGAGTGAAAGAGGAAGAAAGTGAGGAAGGGGTGGGGAAAGAAGGAGAGGTGCTTCCAGGAGGGGAGTCCACCCCACTCTTTCTTCCCCCCATTCCCCAACAGCAGCCCCCTCCCCAAAAAAGCGGAGGGACCCCTCACCTTCCAGGTCGTCAATGGTTTTCTCCAACTTGGCCACGGACCTCTCTGCAAACTCCGCTCGGGTCTCGGCCTGGGAAGGAAGGAGGAAGGCAAAGCGGTGTTTAATGGGGAGGGTCTGCATTGCACCTCTGCCAGCTTCACAACCCCCTCCCCATTTGGTCTCCATTCTGAGTTCTCTTGTGGAATAATAATAATAATAATAATAATAATAATAATAATAATAATAATAATAATAATAATAATCACATCATCGGGTGCAGTGCCTCAAGACCTTGGCCTGCACTTAAACACAATCGGCGCTGACCAAATTACCTTCTGCCAGCTGCAAAAGGCCACCTGACTCGGACCTGCATTATTATTATTATTAATAATAATAAAATATAGAAATCATGTTATAGAATTTATACCCCTCTCCATCTCCCCCATGCCCATCAGTACAGTACATACATTGTAATTTATTTATTTGTCGTGTCAGGGCAACCAGTCAATTGTATTACATTTCTAACAGAACAAAACAAACAGACAAAATACAAAATTTGCGAGTTTGGTAGTTGATTAAATGTCCTTTGACCAGTATCTGGCCACTTGGAGTGCCTCTGGTGTTGCTGCAAGAAGGTCCTCCCTGGTGCATGTGGCAGGGCTCAGGTTGCATTGCAGCAGGTGGTCAGTGGTTTGCTCTTCTCCACACTCGCATGTCGTGGATTCCACTTTGTGGCCCCATTTCTTGAGGTTGGCTCTGCATCTCGTGGTGCCAGAGCGCAGTCTGTTCAGTGCCTTCCAAGTCGCCCAGTCTTCTGTGTGCCCAGGGGGGAGTCTCTCATTTGGTATCAGCCATTAGTTGAGGTTCTGGGTTTGAGCCTGCCACTTTTGGACTCTCACTTGCTGAGGTGTTCCAGCGAGTGCCTCTGTAGATCTTAGAAAACTATTTCTTGATTTAAGTCGACGTGCTGGCTGATACCCAAACAGGGGATGAGCTGGAGATGTCACTGCCTTGGTCCTTTCACTATTGGCTGCTACTTCCCGGCGGATGTCAGGTGGTGCAATACTGGCTAAACAGTGTAATTTCTCCAGTGGTGTAGGGCGCAGACACCCTGTGATAATGCAGCATGTCTCATTAAGAGCCACATCCACTGTTTTAGTGTGGTGAGATGTGTTCCACACTGGGCATGCATACTCAGCAGCAGAGTAGCACAGCGCAAGGGCAGATGTCTTCACTGTGTCTGGTTGTGATCCCTAGGTTGTGCCAGTCAGCTTTCGTATGATATTGTTTCTAGCACCCACTTTTTGCTTGATATTCAGGCAGTGCTTCTTGTAGGTCAGGGCACGGTCCAGAGTGACTCCCAGGTATTTGGGTGTGCTGCAATGCTCCAGTGGGATTCCTTCCTTCCCAGGTAATAATGCTCAGAGCTCGGGATGCTTGTCAGGATTGCAAGATATCCAAGCGTCCCCTGAGCAACGTCTTCCTAGACGGCTGATTCTCTCACTCCAGAAGCAACCAGAAGTGACTTGCAGCATGCAAGCAAGCAAGCAAAACAACCAACGGACCTACTCAGGACCAACCATGACAATACATTGTAATACAAAAACATAACAAAAGCAGAAAATAAAATACATAAAATGCAAAGAAATATAATAAATGATACAAACAATATAAAACGAGCAACTGAAACAGAGGATTTCACTGGGCTGATACATCACATAGTCCTAGGCACGTGGGAAGTGTCCGACGTGTGATCCAATACAACAGCCAGCAGAGTGATCTTGTTTGTTGTTTACTGCTCTTGTTGCAATAATAATAATAATAATAATAATAATAATAATAATAATAATAGGGCTGGAGGTTTAGCACAGCTGGTAAATCATCAGCGATTATAAGATCTATCAACCAAAAGTTTGCAAGTTCGAAGCCCCGGGTTGGCATGAGCTGCCAACTGTCAGCCTAGCTCATTGTTTACCTAAACAGCTTTAGCTGTGATTAGAAAAATTAGGTACCGCTAAAACTGGGGGAGGTGTTTTACGACGCCATAAAGAGAGAAGATTAGAAAAAGGTGGGCAACCAATAGGAAGGAAGAAGTCCTGATGGCTCTTCGTCATAGAGGATGGAGCAATAGCACCCCTTGGACTTGAACCCAACCTTCCATGGCACCTTCTCCTGTTCTGTCTGTCTGTGTATTGTCTATACAAAGCGGCATTGGATGTTTGCGGTGTATGTGTACTGTGATCCGCCCTGAGTCCCCTTCGGAGTGAGAAGGGCGGAATATAAATAAACTGCTATAATAATAATAATAATAATAATAATAATAATAATGGGTTGTTGTAGGTTTTTTCGGGCTATATGGCTATGTTCTAGAGGCATTTTCTCCTGACGTTTTGCCTGCATCTATGGCAAGCATCTTCAGAGGTACTGAGGTCTGTTGGAACTAGGAAAGTGGGTTTATATATCTGTGGAATAATGTCCAGGGTGGGACAAAGGACTCTTGTCTGCTGGAGCCAGGTGTGAATGTTTCAACTGACCACCTTGATTAGCATTTGATGGTCTGGCAGTGCCTGGAGCAAACTTTTGTTGAGAGGTGATTAGACACAAGCATGTGGACAATTTCAACAGAAAGCAGGAAACCATGAAAATGAACAAAATCTGGCTACCAGTTTTAAAAAACTCAAAAATTACAACAGCACAACAACAGAGAGGAAACAAACAAGGACATCTAATCACCCCTCAACAAAAGATTGCTCCAGGCACTTCCAGGCTATCAAATGCTAATCAAGGTGGTCAGTTGAAACATTCACACCTAGCTCCAGCAGACAAGAGTCCTTTGTCCCACCCTGGTCATTCCACAGATATATAAACCCTTTTTCTGAGTTCCAAAAGACCTCACTACCTCTGAGGATGCTTGCCATAGATGCGGGCAAAATGTCAGGAGAGAATGCCTCTAGAACATGGCCATACAGCCCGGAAAAAAAACCTACAACAACCCATTATTATTATTATTATTATTATTATTATTATTATTATTATTACTACTAGCCGTCCCCTGCCACATGTTGCTGTGGCCCAGTCTGTGTATATTTGCTTTGTGTGTATATATATTTGTGTATATGTGTGTATATAAGTGTGTTTGCATATATATGTGTGTGTGTGTGTGTGTGTGTGGTTTTGCGCATGCGTTCTAATGTAATTTTTGGATTTTTTTTTGCTATATGTGTGTTTTGTGTGTGCATATATGTCTGTATATATGACTGTACATATTTGTGTACATGTGTACATATGTGGTTTTGCGCATGCGTTCTAATGTAAATTTTTTTGGCTTTTTAAGTCCCTTCTATTGTATTTTTCAGTGTTTTTATGAGTGATGGTCACTTGTTGGCCTGAGAGGTGTCTTGTGTCCGAATTTGGTGTCAATTCGTCCAGTGGTTTTTGAGTTCCGTTAATCCCACAAACAAACATTGCATTTTTATTTATATAGATTATTATAGTTGAACCAACAACACTATGCTATACTTAGACTATGCCTAGTTTTAGCAAAAGATTATCTCCCTCCTTTTGTTCAAAATTGAATGCATAAGAATAAACAAAGCAAAATAATAATAATTTTAAAAAATTAAAAGAGAAGGTTAGATGGCCATTTGTCAGGAGAGCTTTGGTTGTGTCTTTCTGAAATTCTGCATCTGAAAGCATGGAAGGGCTCCGTGCCCCTGGCACGCAGCCCCCTCCCCAAAAAGAGTCTCCAGAAAGGAAGCAATAAGGAAACAGACCCCTGCTGCTCCCTTTCAATCTCCACCCTTTTGCATCTCTGGTAGATATTAAAAAATCAGATTTTATAGGTTATTTCACCGAGTTCCACCATCTGCATTTAACAGAAGCAACATGTTGAAGGAGAGATGGATGAATATGGCTTTTTAACAGGAGACAGGCCCGGAAGGAAAGTTATCACCATATTGGCCGCTGCTTCTGTTGTTACTGCCGTTCCTCTCAAAAGGGGAAAGTGGAAAGTGGAAGGAAGGAAGGAAAGAAGGAAGGAAGGAAAGAAGGAAGGGAGGGAGGGAG